AACCGCCTCCTGGTTAGCTCAATTGGTAGAGCGCCGGACTGTTGTGCGGGAGGTCGAGGGTTCAAGCCCCGGCCGGACCAACACTCAGGGTCTTAAAATAACTGAGGAGAATGTGCTACCTTTCTATAATATCAAGAAATGGATAGATATTCTAGTCTTCTCGGATAAGGACGAATAAACCGTAGGTCCCGTCTCCTGCAGGGTTAGGGGTAGGAGACGTTAATTTCCCACGCACGAGATTACTGTGTGGTGGATGTCCTCCCCCTGGGATGGGATGGGTGTGTTTACTGGGCCCGCAGTAATTAGTGCAAGCTGTTGCGGGGTCCCTGGCTGTCGGCGAAGCTAATAAATTAAATTAAACCAAAACTTATGTCTATAGAGACCAGGAACAAGAATGTGATCAGTCTCAGCTGCAACTGGTTTAGGTTTAGTGTCTGATTACTTCGAGCAATTTTGATTCAGAGGCGAATGTATCAGAGGCTAACTCGAGAAACCGGAGTCTGGCGGAGATCCATAGTCGACGCCCTATGCTCCTCAGCAAGAGCGAAGACAGCCCAATCTAATCTATCTACCGGCGAAATTGCTGTCAAATAACGATGAGCCTTTTCGATTGGCGGGGCATTACTCTGAATAAATGTTTTTTTTTTCACCAGGAAATTGGTCTCGATTGAGTGCTTCATTTGGCTTTGTCAGGAGATCAGGATATTTTCTTATTCATATCTATGCTCCTTGTGCGCTTATTGTTATTTTATCTTGGATATCATTTTGTATCCCCCATGATTCAACTGCTGCTCGTATTGCTCTTGGAATAACGTCCGTGTTAACCATTACGACGATATTAAACATGCTGAATACAGCTATGCCAAAGGTAAGAAGCCTTTGGGTGACTACTGAATATGTAACGAAATTCACAAAACAGTCAGAACGCCAGGGACAGACAGACGAACACAAAGACTAGGACATAGACAGACAGGTAGACAGGCATGCAACAAAACAAAAACAAACAAACAACCAAAAAAAAAAAAAACAACTATTGGCGTCTTAACTTTCCGTCTCTAATTGTGTGCATGATTATCGACATCGATACATGCACGTGATCATGTAATTACATATTGCCTAGTAAACGTTCATGATTAAAGGCTGTGACAGATATATAGTTGGGAATGGAGGAAAATATATATATATGTAGACTGACCTATAGATGAGAAAATCACATTGACGGATGGACAGGCAGACTGACTTACTAAATGATGTACAGAATGAAAGACAGAAAGGGTCCGAAGTTAAATGAAAAATGGAGGTGTGATCGCTGACATTTCATCGTATGCTAACCATATTATGAGGAGTATTTTTGCGTCAACTTTAATAGCAAATGGGCAAAAGGTATAATTTTTGTCTAATCAGAATCAGGGATCAGAAATCGTGATTGCTGGCGAATAAGGTGTTGCTATCAGAAATATTTTGTCTTGTCCATCTGATATTTTTTCAGGTATCCTACGTCAAAGCGATAGACTGGTACCTCATTGGCAGCTTTCTTTTTGTGTTTGGTGTGTTAGTTGAGTACACATTTGTTCTTTGGATCGTGAACGTTCATAATAAGAGACTAAAAAGATTAATGATCGAGCAGGAGATCCAGGAAGCGGTAAGCAGAGGAATTTAGACAAAATATATACCTCTTACTGAGAACTGACTATGACATGCGTACTCCTCTATTGCTTTTGAGGCTGGATTTGTGGATAGGTCTTTGATATGGGGCTTCTTCCTCACACGCAATTTCCTAATTTGCAATTCTCTCGTACTAGATCAATTCGTTTTTTATCGTTGGCAAGTTAAACATGATTCAATTGTAGATAATTTTTGTTAAAATTTCCCAAGAGTTTGCTCCGCTTTCCTAGATCAATTTTTCTCTATAGCAATACCAAGTGGAGATCAATTTAATTCTTCTCAGCACTGAGTCCACATCAGGACGTAATGTCTTGCCTATCCCTCAACCTGCTTTATTAAATAAACTATGATGATGATGATGACGATGATGATGATGATGAGTCTCCTATGTCCGAGTGACAAAACGTAGCATTATTGATGTACATCTATCAAGGAATCTTGCTAAAATATCAAGTTTAAGAACAGTATTCTTTTCACCTAAAAGTACAGCCGTGATCTCTTAGAAATGCGCTCACAAACAAGTTGTCAAGAATTTGAGGATATCAGGAGCAGTTCCTGCTGAGGGCTTTTATCGTCTGACTTACTGATGCAAATTGGCCTCCATATTCTAAAGCTAGCTAAGATTTTGAGTATTACCCCTTCGTCAGAGGGATTGATGAAGGCCAACGCTCGAAACGTCATCTTTAGAGAATCTCTACGCCGGGAAAATTTATCGACAATGATTCAATGTGTTGTCGCTTTTTAGGAGGAAGAAAAGCAATATAACTCCAAGAAGCATGCGATGAATGGTAGCGTTACAAGCAAAAATGCTCGTGGGAGCCATGGTTATAATTACGAGCTTTTTGAGGTACACCAACTGCATTTATTCTCAAAGGCAATCTCGTTGTAACTCCTTAAACGCGATTTTTCATTTGAATGTCCAAAGTTGTAATTACGATTACGCTTGTAAAAATACCAGCATCTGGTCGAAGATTTTTCAGGTTTTAACCAAGACAATGTTATGTTTATTTGGTTAAGAACGTTTGTTTGGAGATACATTTTCACGAAATTAGTTAACCGCCTCCCGGTTAGCTCAATGGATAGAGCGATGGACTGTTGTGCGGGAGGTCGAGGGTTCGAGCCCCGGCCGGACCAACACTCAAGGTCTTAAAATAATTGAT